CTGCTGCACCCCTCGCTGGTGGGTTTCACAGAAGAGCGAAGAGTCCTTGGGCCGGGAGGGCAGTGACCGTGTTACCCGGAGGGATCTGTGGTTCCTGGGGCAGCCGTGGCAGCCCCGGGCGCCGCGCTCTGCCGGCACGCAGGGCGTGCGCTGTAGGCTCAGGAATAGTTCAACATTTCTGGGTATTCATTTAGATGTGGTGTGCGGGTTAAACATAACGTACGATCGCTGCTCCTCTCATTGCTTCCAATTAAACCTTGCTTGTTAGTTTAACCTCTAGGTAATCCCATCAAACAATTGATGTCAAGGAAACACTGCCCACAGTGGCTCTGGATGAGTGGCCATTAATTTTAATTGCCTTGATATTAAAGATTAAGAAGTATTGGGACTAGCAGAATGGAAACGATCTGATGTCAAGCAAATCCACTCGTTGAGGCTTCCCCAGGCTGCTGGTGATATTAAAATTTTACTGTGAGAATTAAATAAACCTTTATTAGTGATGGCTGTTGTTTGATTGGTCCAGGGGCGTGCATAAACAGAGGGGTCTCGCACACATCCGTGGACAATACAGTTGAGGTACAGAGATTCCTCAATTATGAAACTGTTAATAAAGCATAATCTGATTGTCCACAATAATTATTTGCTAGGTTTCATTAACGTATTATTGCCTCTGTGACTGACAAGGTAATATTAAGTGCAATATATAGAATGCGGTGGAGAATTATCAAGGGAACAGAATGTATAAGGTACCTTTCGTATTGCTGTTAGAAGCTAGAGGCTTTTCATTAATTGTGTTTAAACAAAAGCTGTGCTACGTAAAATACAGCAAGATTTGTCTCCTGCCTGCAGCGGGGTGCCTTACTGAGCACTGTGGTGGAGCATGGGGGGTGGGAGGTGCTGCAGCCCCCAAGGCTCATGGTGGGGCACAGCCGGGGGGGGTCCCAGGGAGTGTGGGACCCCGGCCCTTGCCTCACCCTGCACCAGGCAGTGGGGGATAACCCCTTGGGTTGGTGCTGATCCCCTCCCTTTTGCCTCTGTGTTGTTGCAGATGCTTTTTTGTCTCGGCAGCCGTGACCATCACCTGTGTTGCAAACTGGGTTTGTTATTTAGGAGCTCTTACAGCAGCTGAGGTTAAACAAAGCCACTGAGAAAGATTGTATAAACTTTTCTGAGCGGCTCCAGTGTGGGTTCAGAGTCGGTGCCCCATGAGTTATCTTGGCTTTGGTACAGGATCTTCAAAGGGACATGACAGAGGGACTTTCCAGCCATTATTGATTTATATGATTCCTTTCATTTTCAGCCGACCAAACATGATTCTATGAGTGGGCCGTCAAGGTTGTTCCAGCCCAAAAATAAAGAACAATTGCTCTCACTGCCTGCTCGCCCTCACGGAACCAGACCGTGGTCCCCCTTGAGCAGTTTTGGGGTCTTGCGCTGATTTCGTTGATAAACGGCTCATAGTAGCAGGAGCCAACGCTGTATTAAATGCTACAGCAGGCTCCAGGATACATGTCATCATCAGTCACCCCTCGGGCACCAGTTTGCCAGCAGAGAGGCAGAGCCAGGTCACACTCACACCCATGGTAATATCTAGCTGATCCTCGGGTGCTGCTGAGTTACCTGGAGTAGCCGGCAGGGGCTGGGACACCCGTATTTGCTGGAGCAAACGTGACATCTCAAAACAACCCCTCTTTGCCAGGTCAAGCGTTCTGTGTCCTTCACCCTTCCAACCTCTCTCCACTGCAGGTGTCCAACTGGTTTGGCAATAAGAGAATCAGGTACAAGAAGAACATTGGGAAGTTCCAGGAAGAAGCCAACCTCTACGCGGCAAAGACGGCTGTGACCGCAGCGCACGCCGTGCCTGG